CTCTATCTTTATTGAATATTTAACTAAGATTTTTACATAAAGTTTAAATCTACTTTTAAAATATTATAGCAAGAATAAAAGCTCAGACTAATTTATCTGCGACCTAAACCAACTGGAGTGGCCAAGGCTTACCTAGATTTGGGTGTTAGTCATAATGTATAAGAGATATAGTAGAATATTTTTACTGTTACTAGAATGTATTTCTATTTATATTTATCAGAACCAAATACTTTCACAAATTGAACATTTGAGACACTATTTTAAGAGAGAATTTGAACGAGAATTAATGATCTTACCAGATGGAACAATTTCACATGACTCTTGTATTGATCATTGCCTTTCATATACTTTCGGAGAGTGCACAGCCGTACATGTTTTGAGATGTTCTAAGTGTGAAAATTTTTATGAATTTTTTGATCAACTAAAGAATAATGCAACTAACGATTATATAGTACAATTACATGAAGTTCAAAATCGATTAAAGCATTACTTAGGTTACCAAGCATGAAAAGTTTATCTTAATGCTCAATTCAAGGCAACTTTAGCTCAGTTGGATTTCAATGTGGCTCTAATTGTAGCTGACTATAAAATAAGAATTCTCACGAAATCTGCTCATGAAACTAAAAAGGATTTTTATAATAAAAGAGGTTGGACTTTACACACTATTTTAGTTTTTAGAAAAATCGAAGATAAAGATGTGTTAGATGTTTAGGCATTCGACCATTGGTTTACTAACACAAAACAAGATGCTTGGTTCACCGCTTCTTCATTTGAAGCAGTATTTGAATTACTGAGCCCAAAACCAAAGTGGATAACTATAATTTCTGATAATGGTGCACATTACTATAACTCAAAGTTAATGACTATCATAGCGTATTGGCATACATGGTATTCCATTAAGGTCAAAAGATGGTTGTTTTTGGAGCCAGGAGAAGCTAAGACAACCATTGACTCTCATTATGCAAATGTAGTATTGAATTCTTCATAAGCAGTGTTGTGAAGGTTACTATGTCAAATTGTTTCAAAATTATTGGACGCATGTCCAATAATTTTAGAAACAATTGAACATAGTAACCTTTACAATACTGTTTATAAGTCAACTTTTTAACAACTATAAGGTACTAACAATTTAATGCTTTGATAATATATTAGATCGGTCATAGCATTAAACAGTATGTTCAAGTTGGGTTTGACTTGGTTGAAGGCAAAGATATAGTTGAGGCAGTGAAAGGGTTGGCTGGAACATCACTGGTACAAATCACAATAAATCATGATGATGGAAATAGTGGATCTGAGATTGAAGATGCTGACTCAAATAAAAAAAAAAAAACTAATCAAAAAAAAATAAAAGTTAAAACCATAGCAGGGATTTCAAGATTAATTACTGGGAATAGCCAGTAGAAGGTGCATTAGCTGGGTTTATTCGTGCTAAGGGACTGCCTAATATAGGGTTATAAAAAAATTTTTCACTAGCAGAAATAGCCAAATTATCTAATTCCCCAATTACTTATTCAAAGCCGATAGGTTTGGCACATACAAAGCCCATATTTGATTGGACAATTCCAATTTCTAAGATACAAGGTATGTTACATTTGAATAAACCACCAATAAAAAAATAAATAAATAAATAAAATTGATTACTTGTGGTAAACTTTAGTTTCTACAAGTAATAGTATAATCAAAGACACGGTAATGGAGGGTAAGTTGTAAATTTATGAACTATTTACAGTTACTAACTTATATTGTTCATAAAATAGACATTGTATATTTCAATGATGGAGACAATCATCAAAAGATGGATATTGAGAGTAAGAACTATTTATTCTGCACTTGTATTCTGAATGTTTCATCATAGAAAATGGTCATCTTTTTAGTTTGGTCAAAATGCAATTTAATGTGATAATAATTTATTTACTTTGGTATTTATTTAGAAAATAGAGTCAGAAATGACGAACAGAATGCATTCATTCATCAAAAATCAGGTGAAATAGAAAGTTTCAATAGAATTAAAGTTGAAAGGAATGAACAAAATGCATTCAATTATTATCAAAAATCAGCAATAAAGAGTAATCAAGATATGAACTTGACCTTAGTTAAAAAAAAATAATAATAGTTAGTTTGTTTTGCACAATTATTTAGGAAACATTGCTGAAAAGGATAAGCTGAAGGCATTCATTCATTTTCAAAAACCTGCAGAAATGGAAAATTCCAATTTCATTGGAATTGAAATAAATGAACTTAAAGCATTTATTTATGATCAAAAATCAGCTGAGATGGATAATTCTGGAGAAATGTTCGTAGAGCTATTGACATTTTATTTATTTAATTTTAACTAACACGAGTCTCTTTAGAAATTTAGAAAATAAATTTCAGATGCCAAAGGGTTGGGCACTTCCAGAAAACACAAAATTCAGCAAAAAAGGCAGTAGAAAAAAAATTAAAACCAAGGTCATTGACTATCTAAAACAATTTTTTCTTAATAGTAACCTAAACCCCAAGGACAAGCTTATAGCCAAAGAATTGTATGAAGAGTTGTTGGAGCTCGCACATTCTGGAGAAATCGATGAGGACCATGTGCCCAAAGTTACTACTATTCAAAACTGGATTGAATGATATTCAAGGGAATTTAACCAACAAGGGACTGTTATCACACTTGAAACTTTTAAAGCAACAAGTTCTTTATCAATTGGCAAAAATTAGTAAATATAGTAGCATTCATACTTCATCTTATTCTAAATTTCAAAATTTCATAGCTTATTATTTTATTTTAAAAATAGGGTTGTAAAGAATAAACATAAGATGTTCATTTATTATCAAAATTTAATATTGTGAACATTCAAATTGATTACTGTTAATAAAATGAAAAATTGCTAATAAAATATGAATTTACTATCAAATAATCTAATAAATAGGATAACATGAAATAAATATTCGATTTATGATGTAAATTTTGGATTAGATGAGTAAATTGAATATTTTAAGATTCCATTTACAAAATAAGCTTTATTTAGACTCGAATACGTAAATACAAAACGTCGAATTTATACATATACTATAACACAGTATTAATGTATGTTGGCTAAGTCTATACCAGTGTTTCAGGTGAAACCCAATTTTACAGATCATTTGCAGATCAAATTGGGCAAAACTAGTTTCAGAGGGTTTCAGACTTCTAGGACAAAATTAAAATTCCTCTAGGTGAAACATTTCAAATTTGGAAAATAATTTTACCCAAAACACTAGTCTATACTAATAAAATAACTTTCCTAAATACAAGTTACTCTCAACCAATTTAGTTGATTATGACTAAAACAATGAACTTATGAATTTCAATTAAACTTATATGTCTAATTCAAATTCAAATTACATTAACTGAAGTTTTTTACTATATCAGGAGTTTATTATGGTAAATGCAGATAAATAATCATTAATAAAAAATAATGCAAATAACATTCAAAGATTAACTAAAAAGAATAATAATAGTAGACCACTTAGCCAAAAAGTAGCGTATCGACTTTTAAAGTCAAATTTCGATTTCATAACTTGCAGCTTTAATATAAGACTCTTATACATAACGTATATGATGTCACACTTAAAGTTACACTAAATAAAATTAAGCCTCCAAAATTAGATCTTTCGAATGCATAATTTGGTAACTTTAGGCAGATGCAGCTTCAGGAACTTGAAGTTATAACTTCAAGAAAATACTAACTTCAAGCATGACATATACACTCTCGATTGAATATAGACTATTAAAAAAGTGCATTACCATAGGGATCAGTCTAATATAGGTTAATTTTTAGTATGAACCTGAAAAAAAAGATGAGTTAACTAGACCGAAATAAGATATGAGAATCGAAATCGCATGATTTATGATATTCGTGAAAGAAATATTATAATATAAAGAATGAAATCATAGAAGTTATTGAAATAAACAATTTTACTTCTATTTTTATTATAATGCTAAATAATCTTGGTGAGTCAGTATGTCTAGTTGAATAACTCAAAAAAAAAAAGTGTTTTTGGAATAATTAACATCGAAATTGTTAGAGAACCTGAATTATTCTGACCCGAATGCACATGGTTTACTGAGTAAAGTTTTTAACTTTCGTCTTAAGATAAAATTTTATTTAAGTTACTGATTTTAATAGTTATATTCTATTGAATTTTAAAATCAAATTGTGTTTTTTTTTGAAAATGCCAATAGTTTATTATAAGGCCAAAATGATGTGTCGAGGGTTGGTTATAATTGATCTTCGCTGTATAACTATATCAAATTTATACTCTTTATCTGCGATCTACCCCTTAATATATTTAAAATTATTAGAAAATTTTTGATTAATAAGTAAAACTATAGTTTGTTTAAATTATTTTATCACCTTTTTTGGAATTTGTATAATTTTAGAAGATTGGTTATATTTTTTGATAATAGTATTATGTTATAATAAACCATTCAGAGTTTTAAAATGTTTTCTATAAAAAAACAAAAAATTATATTTTGATTACTTGGTGATAAATTTATTATATGTATTTAAGATTTTAAAAAACTTATTATTATTCTTAAATAATAATTTAAACAATATTACATGCTTTTTAGTTAATCAAATAACAAAAAAAATAAAATTTATATTACTATAATTAAACTTGTAATAAATTCAATTAATCTATATTTTCTTTATTTTTAATCTATTTTATTATTCTAGTATCAGTATTTTATATGCAATAAAAATCTATTAAATAAATAATATATTATATTCAATTTTAAGATTAATAAAAATTTTGAAATTTGCAAATATAAAAATTTATTCTTAAAAATATACAAAGATAGTATTCACTTCTATGTTTTAAGTTAATTTATATATTTTAAGATTATAGTTTATATTTTAAATAAATTTTTTTTTTTTTTTTTTTTTTTTTTTTATAATACCAAATCATAACCTATATTTTATTAGCTTTTTGCATTACTATTACATATATGATTACATTACATTTGTGCTACTATTTCTAGTCACCCAATGTGACATTATATCTACATTTCCCTATGTACTTCTTTTTGTAGCCTTCACTATGTATTTCAATCATCGTTACTAAACTACCAGAAAGGCTGTAGATCACCTTGTTGTACCCTAATTTCCTCTTAGCTTTTTGACCCAATAGCAACCCACCTATCTACTACCTGCAGTAATCTATTCCTTCTCCCAGATTGGTTGGCTCCAGTGGTTTCTTGCTTTTATTGCTACCAATCTGGTGTACATAGCCTGATACTATGTATACTTTAATACCCTAGTGGCATGGCTAAATTTATCGAGATCTTGGATTATCAATTTGCAGTTTACCACGTACCCTTTCAAATGTACTCCTATAGTTGGTTTGGTCTGCGGCTTGATCGCATATGCTTCCTGCAGGCTTTCCTGTGGGTGTACTGCCAACCATGTACTGATGTACTACTAGCTTGGTGTTGCAAGGGGGCCTGGAACCTTGACTAATTGTATACAGGTATGGTGTTCATCATCTAAGTTGTGATGTATGACCACTTTGGGGAATATTTTTCAAGTACTTTTAAGAGTACCTGCCTAAGATGTTCCAATTCTGGTTAGACCAATCCTTTGCCACAGATCTTCTTTGCATGCACCGCATTGCTTACCACTCCAGTTATAGCTACCTGGTACTATCCTCCTAATCAAGTACTCTGTAAGTTGGGTACAGAGATGTTGGTGCTGCCCTGTCTCCTAGGGACTTACTTGCGCAATACTGTTGTGTAGCCAAACCTTCTGTAACGCCACTGTCACACATAGTGCCTTCTCTCTGCAGAGTCGGTCTCCTTCCAGGAATTCCTAATCCATTCTTGTACTTCACCTTGGGACTTTTTTCACAAGGCTCCACATCCAATTTGGCTCCTATTTAGGTTACAGAGTTAAAATCCTAAGATTTTGTCTCCAGCCCGACTTGAACTATTGACCTAGCCTGTGGAGGGTTAGCAGCTTTACCATTAAGCTATAGGGCCCAACCCCTATTTTAAATAAATTAATTTAATATGTATTTAATAAACTGTTTATTATACTACATATATTTTCTATAATCTGTATTTATTTTTTATTTTTTATTTTTTTTTGTTAAGATGACCTCTTTGGTTTTTTGACTTTTATTAATCACTTATTGATATTGTGATTTAATAAACTACTACAAAAAAGCATATAATTGGCTATATATATAATTTTTTTATATTATCTATTTAAGAAGCTTAAAGATTCCTTACTAATTGCTGTATTTAACACTCCTGCTTGGGTGTTTCACTTTAAACCCTCTGAATCTGTAACCTGTATTAACTCACTAGATTATACCCAAATGCTCAGATTATTGTCTTAACCTTAGAACTAATTTATTTTTAAGATAAACCCTTTAGAGCCTTCTGTATCTGTTTTTACAACTGACCTAGGTATTGCTATAGCAAAACCAACACTTGTGATTAGAACTTAACTATTAAAATACTATGCTCTTGTAGAGTTCATTCAGACCCTAGTATCTACTTTATAACATAATCTTGCTACTTTAGTATATCTCTGAATTTCATCAGACTCCCAATTCAGATAGCCTATATAGAATTATAACCAGTCCATTAATATATTAAGTCAGTCTAACATTTTTTTCCTCTGGTTTATTTTGGTGGCCTGGTTGGTGGTACTTCTAAAACTCCTAACTCAGAGGTTCTTGCCTGTCTGATTACTAAGACCTAAGTATTTATTTCTCTAGGCTAGTCTTTACAGTAGTATTATTGAAGATTTAGCTACTTCTCTATTCAGATCTTTCTAAATAGACTTCTTGTTATCTAATTTTAACAGATTTACATAACCACAAAGACTTATTTAGTGTTTGCACTGTCTAGTTGCTAGTTTGCATTTTTTTGTATACTCCTAACATTACACAAATGCTCTATGACCTGCCAGTTATACTAGTGCAACTATCATTATAGTAATCCTAATCTAATCATTAGTAACAGTTGCTACAATACAAATATTACATAAGTGATTATCCAAATTTTTACTATCAATAGTATTTGAACACCCAATCTACTACTTGGAAGGTTGACAACCTGACCACTTTACTAGGTTACTACATTCTATCTGTATTTATAATTAATAATTAGAATTTATATTATTAATATAATATAAATAAACTATATTGATATAGTATTTATATTAAAAATTTAATTGGTTAATATATTTGTCAAATTATTAATGCATTATAAATCTATATATATATTGTAAGTGGATTTGGAATTTTATAGATTCCGAATCCACTTAAGTGAATACTGAATGCACTTAATTTGTTTTGGAATCTTAAATCAACTTAAGTGAAAAAAGAATTTATAAAATTTAAATGATTAAAAATTATTTATTAATAAAAATAATTAATGAAAATTAAACGATTAAAAATTATTTATTAATAAAAAATAATTATATAATTGAGCATCATTTAATTCAAGGAATTACCTTTTATTTTTACATTTTAAACTATGTGAATGACAACTACTTCCATATGGTATATTAGAACATTTACATTTACAGTTGTTATTTTTGCATTTGTCTTTACAATTACAATTTACTTCTGTTACAGTTGATATTGATTGCACTCTTGCTACTTCTCGAACACTAATAACATTATTTTTGCAAACTTCTAGCTCTTCATATTTATTTGAACCCAATGGCATAAGTTCATTTGCATTAAAAGTTGTGTTAATGATTCCATTTTTACATTGCAAACAGTACATCTTGTTTGGTAATTCTTCAATTACTTTGCAGGGTAAAGTGTGCTGGTCAATGTTGTTACAATCTATTTTTGGAATTGCAATACAAACATATTTGTTAATAGTATATTCGAGTTAATGTTGATTTTTATTTAGTATTTGATTTTTCATTTGGTCCTGATAGGTAACAAGCGATTGATTTGCATATTTATGAGAAAGTTGGTGATGTGATTGAATATTTGATGATAACACTTCTTGTATATTAAACTATATATAAAAAAAATATTATATATAGTATATATTTATAATAGAACTACTATGAATAGCATGTACATACATTGTTTTCAAGACTAGTTAGTGGCAAAGATTCAGATTGACTTGATGAAAGTTCAATGTATTTAGGTAAAGATTTAGTATTGTTTGACAATAAAGACAAGACAAAACTTGGTGATAGAGATTTAGTTTGATTTTGTAATGAAGATTCAATTTGATTTTGTAGTGAAGATTCAGTTTGATATGACAATAAAGAATCGTTTTGATATTGTAGTAGATATTTGGTTTGACATGACAATAGAGATTCAGTTTAATATGATGATAGAGATTCAATTTAATATAATGATGAAGATTTAGTTTGATATGATGTTAAAAATTTAGCTTGATACGATGATGGAGATTTGGTTTAATATGGTGATGGAGATTTGGTTTGAATTTGCAATGAAGATTTTGATAATAAAGATTTAGCTTAACATAATAGTGAAAATTCAAATTGATTTAGCAATAAGAGTTCAGATTGATCTAATAAAAAGGTTTTAGTTTTTATTTGAATATTCAAAACCAGATTATTAACTATAGTATACAGTATATATGTACTAGAATTCTCAAAAAAATTTTCGGGCAATTCTTTCTCATTAGTAATACTTTTATAGTATAGTCTTCAAGTATTGAAAAATGTTGAACTGGTTCTTGTTCAAATACGAGAAAATATGGTGATTTGCCTGTTGCACAACTTGTTTGAATGTTCATTGCATCTAAATATAGTAAAAAATTTTTTTTATATTATATAAAAAAAAAATAATTAGTATTAATGCTAGTAGTTATTTTATTGATACATACATATGATTAATGGTAATCCCTCAGTCCAGTTACTTGTTTGGTTATCTTCTATCCATTTCCCAAGATTAATTTGCAGTATTCCATTAGCCCTTTTGACTATTTCTTGTGATTGTAGGTGCCTAGGATGCTCATTAATAATATGTACATCTGGCCAAAGGGCCATTAGTTTAGAATAATATCTGTGGTAAATTCTTTACCATTATCTGATTGTAAAATTATAGGAGCCCCAAATACTATAAAAATATCATAAAGGAATATAGCTACTTCAGAGGCATGCTTGCTTGTAAGACACTGGGTCCAAGAGAACCTAGTGAAGTGGTTATGAACATAACAAATATATTTGTACTCATTAACAGGCTGAAATGTTAATCCAACCAGATCAACTTGAACACAGAAGAGAAAATTTAATGCCACAATTGGTTTGGAAAAAAGATCATTAGGAAATAATCGATGTGTAGCACATGTTTTACATGTATCACAAAATTCTTTAATAAATGACTACGAAATATAATCATATTGCTTTCTAATCTAAACAGATTTGTACATATTAAAATTAAAATATTTCATAATGATAACGATAATTGTTAATAAATTTACTTACTACATCCTATATTTTAGATGATCTGACATGTTTTAAAATGCCTATATGAATCTTGTATAATATATCATAGAGATGGTTGAAAGGGCATATTATAAATATTAATTCTGATTTATTTTCATTCTTTGCAACTGTAGTTATTTGTGTAATTGGGTTGTTTTCGGTTCCCAATTCTCTAAGTTTAAAGGACTTTTAATCTAATGTCAATCTTTGAGAGTTCCCAAGTTTAGGTTATTAGGTTCATAAAGAACTGAAATAATAAGATCATAATCAGTTTGTGAAATAAATGTTTTATGACACCTATTTAGTGATTTTCCTTCAAGATATTTATTAACCAAGTCATTAAAAGCTAGTCTTGAAATAAATGGATATTTTTCGTTTGACATTTCAATAGAAAGCAATTTAAAAATATAATTATTTTATTAATAATTCAATCGCTTTAAATACTATATAATGCATCATCATAATCATTAATTAATCAAAAAATTTATATTCATATGAAATTCTGTCACCACTTAAGTCATTTTAAGATCCGATCACCACTTAAGTGGATTCGGAATCTATAAAATTCTGAATCCACTTACAACATATATAAGTCAAATTTAGATATGTTAAAAAATTTAAGATAATCTGCAGATTTGCTTATATGAAGTTTATTTAAAGATTTCTTACTAATTGCTATATCTAATACTTCTGTTTAGATATTTTATTTTAAAATTTTTGAACTTGCAATCTATATTAACTTTATTGCATTATGCTTAGATCTTTATTTTAATCTTAAAACTATTTTATCTTTAAGATAAACTGTTTAGAACTTTCTGTATATTTATTTTATAGCTAATTAGTATTGTTATAATTGAACCAACATTTGCAATTAAAGTTAGTTATTAAATTCTATACCCTTACAAAGTGTATTTTAATTTTAGTATTACTTTATAGTATATTTAAAATATTTTAGTATATGGGATGTGGTGACTTAGTAAAGTGGATAAGTTGTCAACCTTTCAAGTAGTAGGTATTGAGTTCAAATTCTACTGATAGCAAAAATTTGAATAATTATCTATGTAATATATAGACAGTATTATAATGATGATATTCTGTCAATTAGTTGAGATAAGATACCTGTAACATGGTCACATCAGCATAACTGGCAGGTCATGAAGCATCTGCATATTGTTGGAGTTATACAGAGAAATGCAAATAGGCATCAGGTAGTGCAAATATAAGATAAGTTCTTATGGCTATATAAATCTGTAAACTAAGAAGCTGAAGCCTACTTGAAAAGATCTGAATAGAGAAGTAGCACAGATCTTTGACAGTACTATTGTAAAGGCTAGATCTAGAAAACAAATACCAATATGAAAGGAATCAGGCAGGCAAGAACCTCAGATGAGAGGTACTACCAATTAGGCCACCAAAAGTCTCAAACTGGAGGAAAAGAACCTTGGAGGGCAGACTTTGGGGTATCAGAGACAGGTTATAGTTCTACTAGACTATCTGGATTAGGAGTCTGAGACTAGAAACAGAGATATACTACAAGTACTAGAGATATGCTATAAAGTCAGTACTGGGGTTTGAGTAAACTTTACAAGAGCAAGCCCTGTTAGCAAAAGATTAAATATGAGTAGTTAGTTAGCAAGAGGGCCCTCTGAAGCCCTACAGTCAGATAATGTACTCTAAAATATGTAACAGCTTAATGGATATACAGACAGAAAGGTCAGAGTTAGGTTAGATGACATCTAATTAGATATACAAGAACTTGTATGCTATCTGTTAGTGTAGTATAAGGGTAATCTTGTACAAGTTATATAATTATAATTGAATTCACAATAAAGGCAGTAGCTGCCAATAACTAATAGCCTTAGCAAAAGCAAAAAAAAAAAAAAATTTTAGTATATCTTGTTTTTGTTCTTAGACTTTAATTCAGATTGTCTAATAAGACTATAATTTGTTCTTTAATATATTAGATCAACCTATTATTTTTTTTTGATCTAATTTTAATAGTCTGGTTAGTAGTATTTCTTATTTAAAATTTTTGCTTATCTAGTTTTTTCATATTAGTATTTGTTTTTTAAGTCTAGTTTTTATAGTATTATTGTTAAAGATCTGTGTTATTTCTCTGCTTAGATCTTTTCAAATAAGCTTCTTGTTTTCTAATTTTTATGAATTTTTTACATAATTATAAGAACTTATTTTAAATTTGCATTATCTAATATTAGTTTGCAGTTTTTCATATAATCAGTTATATAAATATCTATAATTTATTATTTATGCTAGTAAAATTATAATTACAAGTATTTCAATCTAATTATTAAAAACATTTATTATAATACAGATAAAAATCTAAATTTTACTGTTAATAGATTTTGACTTACAATTTGTTATTTAGAAGACTAATAACTTATTTACTTTACTAAGTTATTACATTTTACAAAAAAACTTTTTTTATACAAATATCTTGATTGCTTAATACTATTTTATTATTATTAATAAAATATTTATTTAAATTTATTCTTTTTTATAATCCAAATTTTAATAACTATTAAATCTCTTAATAAAATACACTAAACACATATTTATAAATATAAATAATAATATATTTACTAATTAATAACTACTTAAAATTCTAATATTGACCTTTAGAATCAATAGTATAGCAGTTATGCTTTGAGATTACAAATTACAAGACTGTTAATTTAAATTCTAGTGATAGCAATTGTAGAAATGTATTGCTAAAAATAAAGAACAAAACACTATAGCATTAAAGATTTGAAACATCTAAGAACAGACTTATTTCCAAAAATGGCAAGTAATCTGCAGTTAAGAAGCCATATAGTGATAAACACAAATTAAAGCCTAATTTGAAATAACTGAAGTCATAAGATATAATGTAAGACCAAAAGTCTGACAATAAGAAATACTATATAAACTTATGATAATAGCCAGTTCTACACAAAGTCTGGTAAAGCCTTTTGATCCCAGCAGGGATTAATATGATGAACTATTTTTGGAAAGTTTAAAAGTATAAACTAAAGAAGGTTAAGGTTTAGTGATCTTAAATATTAAGAACATTAGTTTGAAAAGATATAAAAAACATAAAGAAAAATCTTGGCAAAACTGTTAAAGAAAAAAAAAATTTTAATATAACAAATTTATACTATAAATTAGTAATAGTAATATAAAAAGATGCTTTAATACTAATGTATTTTGAATTAAATTTTTATATACTAAATTAAGAAATAATTTTTTAAAATATGAAAACTATTTCTAATTCAGAATATAATTTTAAAAAATCTCTAATTTTATAATAATATCTTAACTTTTTTACTTATATAAAAATAATATTTCTTTTAATAATTTTTATTTCAACTAATAAACAATTTATAAATAAACTAATTAATTAAATAATATTTATAATGTTATTTTTTTATTTTTAAACAACTTAATATTTCTAAATCTTAAATAATAAAATTCTTTTTTTTAAACAACTATTTATAGCTAATTATATGTAGCTGTGTAATGTTGTTATGCAAAACCAGAAATAGGAAAAATCTATGCAGACACTAAAGATGAACATATATAGAATTTTTAATATGATCCTGAAATAAGATTATCTGGCCTGTATTACCATAATATCTAGCTAGCATTAATATAATATCTAATTTGTATTAACATATTTAGCTAATTTCTAATTTAAATTTATTTGTATACTAATTCATACATATGTTTATTTATATATATGATAAGAATTTATCTTTTTTGTTGTTAGTATTTTTTACTTATATTATAAAAATATTCGTTATGAATAAGTTACTCATTTAAAAATAAATAACATGCATAATAATATTAATATTTAAAATTATCTTACAAAAATCAGATTAGATAAAACCTTTAATCAAAAATGTGTTTAATATAATTACTGCTATTAAATCTTGCAAAAAATATATAGAAATTTATTATTTTGATTGGTCAATAGCAACAACCAAAAGTTTTGGCAAAATTATTTGAATTTTTAGTAAAAAAATCATGGCCATCTATTATGTGAAATTAATGAATTCCATATGGAATTTTTAGAGAAATCACAATTTGTCTATTTCTTAATACTATATATTCTATGAAATTACATATATTATAAATTTGTAAAATATAATTTTCAAGCCTAAGTAAAATATGTTTCTGGGTTAATTTTATCATTACACAGACCCAAACTTTAAAAAATTTAAAAATTAAACTCTGGCAAAATTATGTATAATGTGAACTAAAATTTTGTTAATTACAGCTGTTGGCTAATAAAAATTAAGGTTCAACTGTGCAGTACCTAAATTTAATAAATCACACATAAGATTTTTTGAAAAACTATGATTTGCCCATCTCTAGTCAGCACTATTGTTAAAGTTATCTGTCCTCCAGGATAGCATAATAAATTATATGACCTGACCTTTAACCAACACCTGGCAATTATACCAACCCATATTGAATACTAATAAATCTAATAGATTAAATCAATATTTACTCCTACTTTTATTTTTCTTAGTCTATATATTATTATCTAGTAACTTTTTTAT